TTCGAAGTGAAGACCGGTGTTAGGCAAGGTTGCTTACTCTCACCCTTTCTCTTTTTCCTGCTGATCGACTGTTTCATGAAGACATCAACATCTCAAGGGAAGCACGGGGTACAATGGACATCTAGGATGCAGTTGGACGATCTAGACTTATCAGATGATCTGGCCCTTCTATCCCAAACGCAACAACAAATGCAGGAGAAGACGACCAGTGTTGTAGCAGCAGTAGGTCTCAATATGCACAAAGGGAAAAGCATGATTCTCCGATACAACACAGCATGCACCAATCCAGTCACAATTGACGGAGAAGATTTGGAAGACGTAAAAACCTTTACATATCTGAGCAGCATCATTTATGAAGAGTATCATATTTAAAATTGAAGAACATCTGGGACTCAAAACAGTTGACAACCAACACCAAAGTCAGGATTCTCAATACAAATAACAAGACAGTTCTACTGTATGGAGCGAAAACCTAGAGAACTACGAAACCCATCATCCGAAAGATACAAGTGTTTATTAACCATTGTGTATACAAAATACTTTGGATCCGTTGACCAGTCACTATTAGCAACAATGTACTGTGGGAGAGAACAAACCAGATTCCAGTGGAGGAAGAAATCAGGAAGAAGCGCTGGAAGTGAATGAGACACATATTGAGGAAAGCACCGAACTGCGTCACAAGACAATCCCTCATATATAATCCTGAAGGCCAAAGGAGTAGATGAAGACCAAAAAATACATTATGCCGGGAAATGGAGATAGACATGAGAAGAATGAACAAGAATTGTATGGAACTAGAAAGGAAGGTTCAGGACTGAGTGGGTTGTAGAATGCTGGTCTGCAGTCTATGCTCCATTAGGAGTAATAGGCGTAAGTAAGCAAGTAAATAAGTAAGTTAATGATCTTTATTTATGGCAGTTCATTGAACCTAAACATATCCAAAATAGCTCCAAGATTACAACCAATTTTGGTAAGTAGCCAAAATGTATACAAAATAAACAACTCCGAGTTCTGTATAGTTAGAAAATAAAACAAAAAACAAATAAAACCAAATGACTATGCGTAAATCTCAGAACATCCAAGTTATACATGAGAATTGGAAAATAATTAATCGTAAATCAGGACAAATAAAATAGAAAAGTCTAATTGACTTATTATGGTATACAAAAAAAGTGACATTAATTACCAGTGGCAAGAAGTCAAGAGTTGGCAACTACAGTAATGCATTTACAAACTCATATGAGAGATAACACTAATAATCTTCAAGTCTTGTGGAACATGAATGTTACAAATAAACTAACTCATTTAACTCTTATAAATACATTAAGTGAATAAACTTTGTTTCTACAATGGTGATTAGCACCATTGGACAATTATTTCAAAGACGGTATTAGAAGCAATGGAGTGAAGAACTACTACTATTTGTTAATAATGATTAAAAATGAAATTAGTTATTGTTTATATATGTTGTCTGTATGATCGGTTAATTGTTTAAACTACAAATAAACATATACGTAAGCAGTCATTCATTTGACTTTCAGTAAACGTCAGATAGTGATTCAATGAAAGGGATTTGTTTCATAGTTTGATCTTAGACAACCTAAATGTCTTGACTTCGGTCCTCCAAGTAATTGTGAATGTACTGTAGTGACCTACTTTTACCAAGAGAATGCGATTGGTATAATGGAAACAATTATTATTATAACCAATTGTACTAGTGATTGTTTTACTGTACTTGTTTAACTGTACTAAAAACATACATTCTTCCGTTGACTGTGAATTTGCATGCTCTCGGTTACGCTCAGTAATTTTATTTATTTATTTCAACATATAAATATTGGTACAAGAGGGCACCAAACACATATGCGCCACACCATATTTGTATGTGGGCTGTGATACTACCCGGGTGCCCAGACCGAAGTAGGTGGTTTTCTTAGGGCGCCACACCCCGAGCCTTTGACCTAAATGTCTGACCCACAAGGCAGTGGAGCGTCGTGAGTAGATGTATCCCCATGGTAGCCGGTGACCAACGATTGGTCCATACGCCATTAGTTCACGCGAGATACTGGAGCCCATGTGCACCATTGGTTTGGAATCCGGTTAAAGCGCCGGACATTCGCTTTTCATCCACTCATTTTCGTAAACAACACCCCTGCCACGAGAGGGCAGTGAGTCGGACTTCCCTGAAAGAGGCTGTATACGCGTGGCCGTGTGAGAGTATTTCGAGAGGGAGGGCGAACCCACCCCACTCTCGGTCATACCAGGGCACTTGGGAGCTCAGTAGTTCCACTTGTACTCTTTGGCACGATTTTGGCATTTTTTCGATACTAAGAGATTCCCAACAAATATTTTTTATTGCAACCTTCAATTGCCTTCTGATTTTTGGCCTACGGAGTGATCTAACGTAGTAACTGGCACGTAGTTTCACTGCAGTGGTGATCATAATCAACCGCGACTCGACACCACGCCACAACGCTACAGTACATTGCAGAGAATTCCTGTTTAATGCTTTTTGATTTTCAATAATTGTTTGACTAAAGTTATTTCTTGGTACTAACTTAGCGAAATATTTCTATTGTGAAGCAGTCAATTATCACATTGAGTAACTTACTTTTTTCCATCTACATTACTGTAAAATATACTTAATATGAATTCACTCAGTACTAAAGACATAAAAATATGGTAAACATGGTTTACTAGATAATGATTAATCAGTTTAACACAATCACATAGTCACGTAATCGAAATAATATCCAACTCAATGAATAAAAATTACATCATTGCTTAGATTTTGACCTGGTATATATAATAACAGTGACTGTTGTTTGTCTTACATCATTAACAAAGGACAGTACAAAGTTTAAGTATCATTGAAGTTTACAGGATAATTTCAGTTTGGTAAAAGTGCTCTTTGAATACTTAAATCTGATTTAAATATTTTGGTATGGACAATAGATGAATTCTTATCATTCTGTTCCAGATATGATAATACACTTTCTAAAAAAAAACTAATCCAAACAAGTTAGGGGAGAAATCGTAGATCCAAGTAATGTAACAATACTATGTATAAACTGCACGAAGTGTATTTAAATCGCGTTTTGGGATGCCTAAATGTGCAAAACTGAACTTTCAGTAAATTGGGATGATCCTGTTTGCCTGTATTTAAACTTCTTAGAAATTGGGAAACCAACATATATTTAGCTTGATAGTAAGGTGCACAGAGAAGGTAAATGTGATTAGTCATTGTTTAAAGAACACTTAAGTAACTTCTCTTCATCGGGATAGTGTATTTACATAATATTAAATCCACAACGTTTTGGAATTATCAGTTCTCAACTATGCCTGTGAGATTACATTTCTTTCCTTGAATATTATCCGATAGCTGTATGTTTGAATTTCACGGCCATTGATCCTTACACTTTTTCATTTTGCATAAATCAAATAACCGTCAGCAGTTTACTCAAACCGCCCGGAGTATTCGATAGTCAGTGTCGGGTCAAATAGCTCAGTAATAGCATCTCACACAGAGAGGATGAGTGATAAGGGTCCGGATCCCATGTGAAGAACCAGTTGCCCCACGACTAAAGGTGCGCCTTGATGATGAGTACCAAACAGCACGAAATACATGTTCAGGGCTTCCTCCGACTATCTTTTAGCTTAGACCACAAATTGTAGTTCTTTGCAAACCCATCTCGAATACTGTATTATGATTATAATCAGATCAGTAATAATGACTAGAAAATAGAGAATATTTGTTACTATTTACTGACTAATTATTGTCATGTCAGACAGAGGAGATAATACCTACTCAGTGGTAACATCGACGACTGTGGTATAGATCAAACTGAACGGAACACATTAATCTCCTGGAGACGAGAAATGTGATTGACTGTCGAATAACACTAAGGCTTCATCCAGATTGTTCTTAGCCACCAAAGACATTAGAACTTGAACCTGCCCAGTGATAACGGACATGAAAAACGTGACATGTTACTGTTCAATGATCAATTAGTGTAAACCATAATATCAAGTTTTTTTCTGTCAACGAAGAACATTAACCACTTGTCTTAATCAAACCCGCCCTTAAGAACCTGATTATTCGAAACACCAAACCAATCGCTACACCTAAGAATAGTTCATCTGTGACTGTCTATAGCTGCTACCTTGATGTTATAGGCCGGTTTGCATATTGCAATGACATAGACGAGCTATACTGTCGGTTATATCTCAGTGAAGGTTAAACAACGGACAACTTCTGACAACCATTGATGAACTAGTATGATATATATATATATATATATATATATATATATATATATATATTCTTATCGCATAACTATTCAGTAACTGGATTATGTATATCTATATATTGATGACTGAACTCAACTTGTAGGGCTAGGAGGAAAAAGGACTGATAAGGAAGCTAGGCTGCTCATACCAGTTGAACGTCATTGCTTTAACACAGTGCTGAGATTGTACTCCGATTGGTGAATAATTCACGTGATAATTAGCCGGAATCAAAATCACAACAGTTGGGACACTCATTCGTTTGGTAGATAGGTCGGAGAACAATAAGACTAGACAAAACAATTTAAGTTTCAAAGGAGAAATCAGACTAATGACTGAACAGGGATGTGACGGTGGCAAGATGTTTCTCTCAGACAACTAGCATCTACAGAGAGGCTGCCTTTCCATAAGGGAAGGGAGGCATTAAAATATTCTACCCTAAATGTGCACCATTCCACCTTGTTCCGCGGATTTCCATCGCTTGCGGTATGGTTTTAGAAGTATAAAACTAACACATTATGAAATGCTATAAAAACCTCGTGTACGATCGACCTCAAGACAACTGTTTTTTACGGTTTACGTTCACGGTCCATGTTGTCCAGATCACTACCTATCTAATTTTCTGTTCAGGTACCTCATAAAAAGCACACTCCCATAGTTTAGGCAACCGGGGAGTTGAAACCACCCATACACCATTAAAAGCAATCAAAAATCATGTTCTGACTAATCATTTTACCGAGAAGTTGTAAAATAACACAACCGAAAGTAACAGTAATAATATTGATAATAGTAACAATAGGCCGATATATATATGCATGAGTAAAAATAACTAAATACTCAACATCATCGTCAAATTCAAAGATAAACATGAATAGTAGAAGCATGAACATCGAGAGAAGAGACAGAAATTAAGAAGAAGAAATTACTGTGCAAGTTAAATTAGAATTAATGATAAATGTGAAATATTGGTGGGTTGATACCAATTTAATTTGTTTTTCTCTTTAAATTTTTCTATTAGTTGATGAGATAAAACTAGATTTGGATGGATTCATAATGGAATTATTAGAATTGCTGAAATTATCATTAGGATTATTATTACCACTAATAGTAGATGTGGTAATGGTGGTGATGTTAGCATTAGTAATAGTAGTAGTGGAATTGGAAGCAGTAACACTATTCTTGTTATCAATGGAGACAAGTGTTAAGTTATTTTTGTCGTTTGTGTTGTTATTATTATTATTAGTATTAGTATGACTACTACTGCTACAGCCACCTCCAGTATTAATATTATTATCTGATTGTACATGACATTGTACAGCAGCTGATCTTAATGAACAGAGACAATTATTTTGTGATGCTAATGCAGCATTTATTCCATCATCAAATCCATCATCACGTTCTTCACTTCCAGTAGCTGGTCGTGCAAAATCCCATATTAAAATAGTATCATCATGTGATGATGAAACAATTTGAAAATCATCAAATTGTAAACGAAACACACGACCAGTATGCTGTTGTAATGTATGAATACATAATTGATTTGGTTTAGAACGAGGATTGAGTGCAGCTTTTAAATTCCAAACTTTAATTTTTCTATAAAATAATTAATCAAAGTGAATTAACAATAGTGAATACAATTAAAATGTAACAAATAATAATAATAATCAAAGAAACTAATTTTCTTAAAGGTTTCAAGTACCTCTTGACGACTAATAACCAACAGTTAGCATAAAATTTAATTACGGTGAATTGTAGTTAAATAACTAACCTCTAACCAATATCTTACATATATCAACATAGTGAACATGATTTTAATATTAGATAGACTAGTAATTAAATAATAATTTGATCGATACAATGTAATCCGTATTAAAGGATTAGACAAGCATAAGATTAGTGACAATGTTATTCAATGATCGATTAATTAAAAATATGCTCTGGTACGGCCGAGAGTGGGAAGAGTCCGTTTTCCCTCTCAAAATCCTCTCACATGGCCACACGTATATAGCCTCTGCCAGGGAAGTGCTACTCACTGCATTCTCGCATAAGCGGTGTTGTTTACAAAATCGAGAGGATGAAAAGCGAATGTCCGGAACTTTAACCGGGTCGGTGGACATAGAGAGTCCACCTAGGGGAGTTGGAAAACCCAGATTCCAAATCATTGGTGTACATGGGCTCCAGTATCCTGAGGGAACAAATGACGTATGAACTAGTCGTTGGTCACTTGCTACCATCGGACTGCATCTCCCCTAAGAAAACCACCCGCTTCCGTTTGGGCATCCGGGCGGTATCAAAGCCCTCACACATATCAAATGAGATCTGTCTGGCGCATATGTAACTGGTGCCTCCTTGTACCAATATCTATGTGTTAAAATAATAAATTTATCAATTAAAAATGTAGTGTGCCTAGAGTTATATATATATATATATATATATATATATATATATATATATAGTGCACTGTTCAAAATATGTCAGTTCCTCTTATGATGATGAACATATTGTACATGATGGGACTTATAGAGTGAGTAATGATTAAAGTTAAGCATAGGTTATGTAATAAAAAAAGAGAAGATGAATAATTGAAGTTATCATTTTCAATGTCGTGGCAGCACACAATACATACACTCTTGATCGCTAATATTTGCTAATCTTTTCGCAAACTGTTGGGGACGTTAGATCCCTAGAATTCACTTGGAAAAGGACCAAATTGTTAGGTTTGAAGATAACATGAGTTCATTTGACCTGCGAACGAGAACAAAGACTCAGTGACCAAGACCAGTAAGCTAGCTATTTGATGCGTCCCAGCCCCGCTAACTAGAGGGAGAAGTCCAAGCTTGGAATGGGAAAGTATATTCTGCAAACAGCCAGAAACGAGCGATAACAACAAACACAATTCAAAACGTATATATACATTGCAAAACCGTCCTTGGGGAGAGTTACAAAATAGCATAATAAAAGACGCAACGGAACAATGGCATTTATGATTTTCCCAAGTGGGAAATACGACATGAAGGTGACAAGAGCGCCTCTGGCGCGAAAACAAAGAAATTCAAATTTCCAAAATAAAATTACAAAATTAGGCCCTTTCCCAAGTGAGTTCTGGGGATCTAACGTCTCCAACACCTGGTTAAGGAAAGTATAATTTTCGAAACTAATGATTAGATAATTAAGTTGGTATAATTCGGATTCAGTAGCAATGGTGCAGAAGCACTCGATACTCTTCCTCTTACCTTAGATATTGACTTTTAAAATCATCCTACATATTTTGTTCAACAAATTAATTTTTAGTTGTATAGAGACGTATTGTCTATGCTGAGTGTTTCTAATTTCATTAAAACTGTCATTGTTTCTACTGCTCTAGGATTTGTCTTGATACTTTTATTTTTCTGTGCTAGTGTACTATGGCAGCTCGAACCGACAGATATATGTGCCAGTTTTTATGCCACTTATGACTGATTGATTGTCCTTGAGGAGATTTAAAATGCATAGGGAAACTTTCCATAGATTGCATACAATATAATAATATTAATATTAATAATAATAGCAAAAACAACACTTACCCATCATATGCACCTGACACAATACGTTTAGAGTCAAAGCGGATACACCTTACTAGTTCTTCATGTCCTTCAAGAACTCTGAAACATACACCAGTCTCAATATCCCAAATACGGATTGTATTATCGGAACTTCCGGAAACCACTAATCGATCACGATATTGTAAACAAGCAATACCTCGACGATGACCTGTCAATGTACGCACGTAAGCACATGTATCCGTAGCCCAAACCTATAATTATTCGAAAATCAATCAAACAAGTTGGAAGTCTAAGATGATTGAAGTTTAATAAAATAAAACATAATAATCTGAAAATGAATATAATAAGATTACTCACTTTGATTGTACGATCACCACTAGCTGAAACAATGTACTTATCATCGAAATCAACAACATTAACAGCAGCTCGATGTCCAACAAGAACTTGACGTAATTGAACATCTTTTGGCCAAGGACCCATATCCCATACTGCAATACTGCGATCCTAAAATTGATGAAATAATGAAACAAAGGGAAAATATTATAACTTTAAACACTGAACTTGTTGATATTATAATGTACGGGAAATGTAATATTTCCTAAGAACAATCAACTAATCAGTTAGTTATACAGAACTTAGAACCTGGCATATATGTGCATTACACCAAGACGCTACACTATATAAACACAACCAGAAAAAAATTATCAAGAAGAATGACATAGTAGGTAGTATCAGTGGTAGTAAAATAGATTATAATATAGAATATATGACTAGAGAAGAAAAAATAAATTCACAGACTCAATGGTGTGCTACAGAAAACACACATTTAGATTACCATTTTGAAATTTCTAAGCTACATATATGAAACCACAACCTGATACTCTGAAGTTTGCATTCTTTGATCAGTTGAATTTTAATGATACTTTTAAATTTTCGATAAATACCAATGCACTTCATACTGTAGCATTGATGTTAGTTGGAAGTGTATATAAAACCTTCCATTTTCTCACTATTTAGCTGGAGTTTTGTTGTCTGAGCTGGATGATTTAGTTGACCAATCAAGATCGAGATCGACAGGACAAGCTGTGTCATATGTTTGGAAATCCGAACACTTCACTTCTACCTGAAGTTTGTGCCAATGACGTCATTCAGAAGAACAATGAAAGTTCTACGACCAAACCATTCAGCTCAGAGTATAGAACTTCACCTGAGATATAAATTTTCCATACCATCTCGAATTTTCTATCTTCTTAATTATTAGAAGTACGTGATAAGAGAGTAATGTATCAGAGGTGAAAACATGCTTAGGTGTTTGCTATTATGATGTCTAGTTTTCAAATCATGTGGTTGACAGTGATAATAATAATAATGAAGTCAAAAAATTACAAGTACTAAAGAAGATGAAAGTATTTTGTCAAAGATAACACTCTTCAAATGAAAATGAACTAAAAAGATCATAAGTCTAGGATATATTCACTTGATAATCGGAGTTATTATCATTGTGTATTATTTTTATGAAGAAACCTATATCTCATTAAAGTTAACATGGTAATGACAAACAATACTTCAACAACTAAGGTATCTAGATAACAATGTATAACGATTAGATTTATTGACGTTACATGATAGTGCAAATCATCGGTAAATTTTTATATGCACAACAATAAAAAATTAAAAACCAGATTAGAACAGGTTAAACATTTTAGATAAACCTAATCGACATTGGAGTGCGGAAGCTAGTTAATTGTTGATTACAACAATCACTTCCTAATGTTTTCTATTACTTACTACTAATGCTATTACTACCTTCACTACGCTAGAATTTGTCTTCACAATTTCATCTCACTGTATTACTGTGATGTGACTACCTGAACCGATGTAATATGTTGGACATGACTGACCGATCGCTCCCAATCATCATGTTTCAAGGTTAAGAATTCACCCAACCCAGACTAATTTGACTTTGGCCAGTAGGACTTAGTTACCACAAGTACGTAAACATGAACATGATAATTGAGTAATCATGTTAAAAGAAAGGCAACTAAAATTTTCATAAGACACCTCTTTATAACTGAAGAAAAGTATGATATAATTAACTCCGCCTGTTGCTCATTCAGGGTTACTGCTAGTCTCAAGACCGGATTAAGGAGAGTTTGGCATGGGGTCAGTGACCCCATCCCGTAAAAAACAACCTTGCTAAAACAACGCTAACCAGAATAAACAAATTAAACCATTTAAACTAGGGTCTCCAAGTTGAAGGATCTTCATTCAGAAGAATTATGACGTCTCATGATGGAAGCCGATATTCTTCGAAAGTAACGAGGCCGATGCTCCTTCTAACAACCAATCGATCACATTGGTATCACTAAAACATTCAGCAGGTCAATGGAAGACGTGAGACCCGTGAGGAGCTGACAAAGCTTCAGATCACCACCTGACTGTAGCCAAGATGAAACTGGAGCTAAAGAAGAAATGGACAACTTGAGAAACAGTAATAGAAAGGTTTATTACAGTTTTCCTTCGACATACTGACAAAATCAATGAATTCAAGATAGCTCTCAACAACATCTTCCGAGCCCTACAAGATCTACTGAAAGAAACTACTATGGAGGACAATCGGAACGGGATAAAAGAAGCACTAACTTCAACCTGTCAGGAGGTTCTGGGAAGCTAGAAGCATTATCATAAGTAACGCATCTCTATCAAAACCCTGGAAAAGATTCAAGAAAGGAAGAACAAGAAGATAGAAATTAACAACGGTCGAACAAGAACAGAGAAAGTCAAGGCACAAGCTGAATACTCTGTAGCATTAGAGTTGACAAGTAGAAATACATGAAAAACCCAGCAACGGCAGAGGAAAAAGCTGAAAGAGAGGAAAATATGAAACAACTATACGACACAACGAAGAAACTGACGGAAATATAGTACACTAGAGAGACTAGTTAAGGACAAAGAAGGCAAGTCAATCACTGAGATTCACGAACAGAAGAACAGATGGGTAGAATACTTCGAGGAACTCTTGAATAGACCAACTCCACTCAACCCACCGAACATCGAAGCAGCACACACAGACCTCACTGTAGTTGTCACTCCACCAACGATCAAATAAATCAGGATGGCCATTAGATAAATCAACAGCACCTGATAATAAGCTGAAGCACTGAAATCAGACATAGAACTTCACAAAGGAAGGCCAAAAAAACACTCCGTTGAGAATTCGAAACAGACATCAAAAGGATGAACAGCAACTGGAAACAAGTGAAAAGGATTGTCCAAGACAGAGTTGGATGGAGAATGCTGGTGTACGGTTTATACTCCTTCACGAAGGGTAACAGACGTAACTAGGTAAGTGTGTATACTTAATGATGAGTGAGTCATAAACAATGTAGCGCCTAGTGGAGATGCGAGTTAGCTCCAAGGTGCCATAACATACTAGAACAACGAGAACAAGTTAGCAAGATGTGTAGAAAAAGGACCAAAAATTGCGACCCATTCTGAGCCATATCATCCAACTTCTTAAACCACTCGATTGCGTTTGTCAGTAACAGTCCGCACCTACCAACAACACAGCTCAGATTAACAATCAATGATTCTATGTGGTGATATGCCAACTGTTGATTTGGTCAACCCTATCTTTCTTCCAATTAACTCCTACAATATTAAAAATTGATCATTCTTCAATATAACCAATGTTATTGAAGAACAATTTTGTCATTTCAATAAACTTTCCTGGTGCACCTTAGTATGATGACGAACATAGTAAATGTTGTTAAAGAACCTTCATTTAAAATGGCTACTTATTATTGTACTGACATGTATACATGATATAAATCAGTTCAAATTTTTTAAAAAATGGATAACCTGTAAAATAATCCTCAGGATGCCTAAAATATTACGTGACATCTAGAAAGTAATATATTCGAGAACACATCCACGACTATACAAGTTCGCTTAATACAACGTCGAACTGTGTGTTCACAAATTCATTCCTACCAACAAAATATTGCATTATTTATTTATTTGAACACAAAAACATTAATGCAAGGGGGCACCAAAATGAATATGCGCCACACAATAAAAATGAGTTTGTGAAGGGATAGAGAACGGAAGGTGAGTATGATAAATAAAAAAAAACTGAATAGAAATTAGTATATAGGAGTGAAATAATAGTAGTAATAGCAATAACAATAATGATAATAATATCCTCATTATTATTATAACAATGATAATGGGAGAAGCGGTTAAGAAAAATAAACACAGTACAATTGCCGCTGGCTTCTATTCTGAGCCATGTTTGATAACGTCTTCAGCCACTGTGTTGCACCATATCTAGGACCCCAGCGAGGGGGTAATGAAGGTCCAATAGAAGTCAGTCCTATACAACCTTCACGCCACGAAACCACATCATACAATGACCACCTCTCCGCTTTTTCCAACCAGTCCCAAGATCGGCAAATTATGAATGACGTGGAGTTCTCTGGGACAATACCCGTAGAACATCACATCTATCCTATTTAGAGCTATGAGGAGTGTATTTGATACGCTATGGATAAACATGTAATAAGTTTGCTTATTCTAATAACAAAATTAATGTAAACTACAGAAATAACACAGTCTAGGAGTAATCCATTCACCAAGAAACTTGTGCACTTTAATGTAGAAAACAAATGTTGGGTTTTAAATCTATGAAAAAGGATATGATTTATATCGGATCACCATTGTTCTCCAGCTATTTATCAATATATTGATTTATTATTATATGAAAATGAAAACAAATATTTGCATAAATGCACTTTTAAAAGAAAAATAATAAAAATAAACAATATGTCGCTTACTTTTGAACATGTTACTAGAATATTATTGCGAAACCGTAAATGCAGCACAGCTTCAGCATGATGATTAATAACATTTAAACAGCATCCAGTGGATAAATCCCATAAACGAACTGTTGTATCACTGGAACCACTGATCAGCAAATTCCCGATGTATTGCAAACATAAAACGGAACCTGAATGTCCTTCAAGGACCTAGAAGATTTTTTTAAAAATAATCGAACAGGACAGTGATACCTAAACAAGTTGCTTTAATGTTTAAGCTAGATGAAAAATAATACAAGGGTCTGTTGATGATACAATTTTTGGAGCACTGATAAATAAATGACTAATCATTTGACTTTTAAATATTGAGACTGTAATATTTGAACTTTCCTACAATTACTTCAGTTTGTGAAATGGGGTACTATCTGGTTAGCGTTTTTTTAGCGAGTTAGTTTTCTACGGGATGGGGACGCTAACCCCATGCCCAACCCTCCTCCTTTATCCGGGCTTGGGACCGGTAGTAGCCCCGGAGGGACTCCAGGCGGAGTTGGGGTACTATCTACTAGTTATAATACCAAAAGATGTCAATTACAATAAGATATATGATATTTAGGTTGTATTAATTCATCTAATCCATCTTCAAACACCGAATGAAAAAGTATTATTTGTGATAAAACGTTCTTTTATATCATCTGAATAAGAACAGTTTGAAAGATAACCTTTGCTTGCACAATCTGAATTAGGTCTAAGGGCAGATCTTAAAAATGTTCAAAACAGTAGTTGAAAGTAGAGAATTCTAGGTTATAAGCTGATGTAAACTAACACTGTCTTCATGGTTAATTTGCTTAGAGATGAATATATCGACGCTCTAGTGAAAAACACCGGTTTACGGAATTGATTGATTAATAATGACATTATAAAAAAGTTGCATATTAACATGGATCTTACATGCCGATTGAATGGTACACTCAGATATATACAGACATAACGTTTATTTTTATCTGATCTCAAAATAAAACGATTAATGTTACATTAAATCACATGTTTATCCAATAGATTGGCAATATACTAAAAAGAAATGATTTTCCAAAATTAATCTAGTGTTACATACCATATAGGTTCTAATGGTCATTTAGTTTTGTAGAGCAAGTGCTCGAAATAAAAACAGGAAAAACATAAAATATGAATATTATGAAAGGTAGTATTGTTAACCTTTACATAAAATAGTGTTTTTTACACTAAGTCAGTCAGCTACAACGTAGGAGCAGGCACATATATACATCGGTTCAAGTTGCCACACATCATTAGCACAATAACATGAATACGAAGTTCATAGAAGTAGTCAATTCAATGGTAGTAATTGATAAAAGAAAGATTGTGCATAAGGATATAGTACAGGAAGAAAGAATTAGTTGGTAGAAATAAAGGTATAAAGTTTACGATAACCCATCAGTGCAATCGACTTAGAATAAATCTATTGGTTTTTTGTGACCCTTTAGTTCAAATCATTAATAGATGTCTTTGCTGTTTTCACAGCTGATTGTACATCTTTCCAAGCAACATCTGGATCAGCCTCGTTTCCAGAACTACCTAAGTGTGACCTCAGTTGTTCCTGGAATTTACTTTTGGCTCTCTCTTGTATCCAGCAGAATAGTGGTTTCTAACCCCTGCAAACTACCCATTATTGTTGTAGGATATACGAATTTAGAATAATATGAAGACAAATGACAAAAACTAGTGTTACCTTGCTTCCAGAATTTATTATGCCTTCCCTAGCCTAGACTTCTCTGTCCGAGAAGAACTAGTGCGTTCGCGATTTGTAGAAGGGCTTTTGCCGGGTGCACTACGACAGCACTTGCTACACATGCCACCAAACAGTATACAGGATATTGAAACCACAGTCCTTCGTTTAATGACCGCTGATAAGTTATCAAGCACTTCAACTGCACCCTATTCGACAGCAACGGCTATCGGAGAGTCTAGTGTATCGCATCAGTGTGACTCCGCCCAAACTATTCCCAGCTAGACAACCGGTAAGCTCCGCCAGGAGTTCCTCCGGGGGCTACCGCCGGTCCCAAGCCCAGATAAAAGAGGAGGGTTGGGCATGAGGTTAGCGACACCATCCCGTAGAAAACTAACTCGCTAAAAAACGCTAACAAGAAAAAATTACTCAAACTATTTAAACTCTGCCCTGGGAGTCAGAAGGTCTTCATTTAGAAGAGTTATGACGCCTCATGATGAGAGCCGAGTTCCTTCGGAAGTTACGAGGTCGATGCCGCTTCTGACAACCAGAGTAACCATTTATTTAGGTACATGGAATCCTCGTACAATGTGAAAGACCGTGAGAGTCTTCCAAATTGCTGCAGAAATGAGGAGATACAACCTGGAGGTGCTTGGGATCAGTGAAACACATTGGACGCAAGTTGGACAACAACGACTAGCTTCAGGGGAGCTTCTGTTATACTCCGGACATGATGAAGAAAATGCTCCACATGCACCAGGAGTTTCATTGATGCTGTCCAAACAAGCCAGAATGCACTTATAGGACGGGAATCTCATGGACCAAGAATCATCTAAGCCTCCTTCAAAACAAAGAAAGATGGCATTGCAATGGAAGTCATCCAATGCTATGCGCCTACCAACGACTACAATGAAGACGCTAAAGATCAATTCTACGATAGGCTGCAGTCAATCGTCGAGAAGTGCCCAACAAAGGACCTGATCATTCTGATGGGAGATTTAAATGTCAAGGTTGGGATGGACAACACCGGATATGAAGACATCATGGGATGACAAGGACTGGGAGAAAAGAACGAAAATAGTGAGAGATTTGCAAACCTATGCGCCTTCAATAAACTGTTCATAGGCAGTATTGAATTTTAAAAATTTCAACAACTTACTTGTGTACAATGGTAACCGTCGGAACATGTTGCTGCATTGAAACCTTCTTGATTTGGTGCTTCAACAGCTGCTCCCGCAGCCGTAGGAGCGTCACTTCTCACCCTGACTTTATGCCCAGACTCATCAGGATTGGGAGTAGTAGTACAATCAGAACTAGATCCTTTACTTTTATTGATTGCACAAATGTTTGGAATTCTTTGCCACACCTTAATGGTATCATCTCTTAGACCGCTAACAATTTTATGCTTATCATACTGAAGACAATAAACGCCTTTTGTCACATCGCTTCGACATGGTATCCGAGTTAAATGATACTGACCACGGGTCCAGTTATCTTCGACGCGCTGAACAGAATAAACAGTGAACAATTTATCAAAATTAAGCAAGGAAATAAAAATAAACGCAGAAATCTGAGACTACTCATTTACAATAAATTACATTCAACTACATAAAACGCTATTATTTACCTAACGACACCAATAGGACTGCTGATACTACTAGTCTAAATGACAATCATAGTTAGCAGCTGAAGACCACAGGTAAAAAATTACCACCAATGCATCGAAGGCTTTAAGTGGCACGGCTCACAATCATTAAAAATGATATAAATGGATCCATCCTTATCTTTCGATTTTAAATTTCAGTATTCCCTCATACATCTTTCTGAATCACATTTTCATTGTTTTATCTTGTTTATTATCATTTTTTACTACATTTTGATCTCGTTCGTCATTATCTTCATTAAATTCATCTCTCTGTAGTGATACATACAATATGGTAATATGAACTGATGCATATTTGTTCAAGGTTCTATATTTATTATAATGAACTGATTATTAACTACTGAAATAGTTTTCATTCCAAATACTTAATATACACTTGCAGTAATATCTTGTTATAAGAAAAGAAAAATTGTAAAAGCCAAAAAAAACATTAAAAGGGTAATTATCATATTATTTTACAATATGTACTGAATACATGAAGAAGAAAATCTCAACAACAACAACAACAACATTAACACAAGACTACAGAATATGAATAGTTTAGCTTGTTTATCAGAGTAGAATTAAAAAAGAAAGTAGAATGCAATGAAACACATGTGACCTAAAAATTGGATGAAACAAGTGTCTACATAGAAATAAATAAATTGGAATGAAATTAACAAATATTTATTTGACTAGAAAAAGATTCAGTAATATAAATAGAAAAATATTATCGAATGGAAGAGAGAGAAAATGTCGAGAATACTTGTTGCTAACTAGAACAGACAAACATTATCAACATACATTAGCATGAACAGTTGCTAACGTTATGAAAATCCCCTATATACTTATGTTGTAACTGGTTAGATCATATTTAGATGAAAAGCAGTCAGTCAGTCAGTCAGTCAGTCAGTAACAACGTAGAACTTCGTACGTATGTACATCAGTTCGAGTTGCCACACCACATTAGCACACAGATGCAGTGGTCGATTCAAATCCCGTAGTGGTAGAGGTAATAAGAGTATAAGCAGTAATCGGGAAGATTAGTGTTTGGAGATGTTACTTAAAGAGTATAATACAGTGAAATAAATTTGGGAAGAGAAAAAAAAGACAAGGAGGAATTAGGAGATCAAAATTTGAGAGAACACAAAGAGTGGATGCACCTGCGCCATTGCAAACGATTTTGAGCCATGTCATTCAGGGTCTCTAACCATCGGTTGCTATCATCTCGCGGTCCCCAACCAGGTAGTCTACACCTACCAACATGACTCAGTCCACTTGTCAGTGACTTCATGGATGTGTGCCATGTATTTGGTCTGGCCGCTCCTAGCTTTCTTCCAATCTACTCCTACACCATACAACATCGCACGTCGGGGCATTCGGTGGTTGGGCATTCGTGACACGTGTTCCAGCCATCTCAACTGATCAAGTTTCATTACTTCATCAATTGATTTGCCATCCTTACCTAGTACCCGTTTCCTAACAACTGCATTACTTGCTCGGTGATCCCAGGATATACGAGCAATGTTTCGAAGACACCTATGATCAAATACTAGTAACCTACGAATATCCTCTACTCTTACCGGCCATGTTTCACTGCCATAAAGTAGGACGGAACGAACTGCTGCGCAGTAAACACGTCTTTTGGTTGATAGACGGATATCTCGCCTACACCATAAATGACGCAAGTTGGCAAAAGCTAGTCGGGCCTTCTGTATCCGTGCTGAGATTTCGTCACACACCAGACCACAAGAGTTGATGAGACTTCCAGGATAAGTGAAGCGGTCGACACGCTCAACTACTTCACTCCCTATCATTAGTTCGGGTGTCGATGTAACCCAATCCTGAAGTAACATTTTGCATTTCGAGGGGGAGAATCGCATCCCGAACATGCTTGCATTGTTGCTTATAGTGGTCAGAAGACTCTTCACCAAATAGAACTATGTTATCGGCATATTCTAGGTCAAAAAGTGAATCTTGCGGTAGAAGTTCAACCCCTGTAAATTTAGATGAAAAGCAACCATGAACTGTTACAAATTGGATGATATTCGTTAAAAATTTATAGATACTACAATCATACTAGTAATTGTTAATACTGATAAGTAGTTTTTACAGGAAGAAAAATGAGGAAAATCGGATGCGCAAAAAGAACTGCAGAATATAGGGTTAGAGGTGGATGGAATCGTTTAGATCCATTTTTATAATATCAAAGGATTATATCTTGACAGACAGGAAAGCTTTCATTTTCGTTGTATACAATAAATGCTAAGAAATTCAACTTTCTACTCAATAAGTAACTTACAAAACAGTTGATTACAAACTCGCATAACTATAAGCTAACCATTTTAGTTATGAAAAATTTTCTACAATGTTTTATCATATCGATCATCATGATAAGTACGAAGAAACTAATAAACTGAGTAAATATTTGAAATACTAATACGGGTAAATAGCTATCCTTTTCATATCTCCGATAAGTGCAGGATGAATAGAATTAAAGTTGTTAAAGTTAAAAAGTTGCCACCGATTTTCTAAACTATTACGTGTACTTCGATCTCTACGTCCTATAGGACTGTAGTGGAGGGCCGATTTAAAAGTTTAAGTACTAAGCGCTTAACCGTTAAGTTGTAAGTTCATAACCACTTCAAGACTGACCACAGATAACACTTGAAAGCTAATCATGACATTATTGTATGACAACTAGAACCGATGTACATACTTATCAGGTTCTACGTTGCACTGAATGACTGACTCACTGTTACAAGCGCACACAACCGTTAAGTGTTAAACTGAACATGACTTTCTACATGACGTGGCTTGTAAATATAGGTGAAACAAATGCACAAAGACTTTACCATAAACAAAGCTAGATCATAGTGAAATAAAAAAAAGTGAGAGAAAAGCGAATAAAAAAGCTTACTGCTATATCACGAATTATGCGAGGATAAAGTTGTTTGTAGAAGCGATGGGCAAACATAACTGTTTCGTAAGAGAGTGCATCATGTAGATCTGTCTCCATGGAAAAAGAAGTTGCACTCACAAGCCGATGATTTAATCCATCATTCGTATTATATGGGCTTAAAGAACAACTAGGTGTGTTGGATGCATCAGTTGTAGAATCTCTTGAAAATGGGATACTTTGAGTTCTCGATACGTAGGAGTGTGTATCAGTAGGATATATTAAGGAATGTTGAATGTCTGAATGACACTGGCATACTAGAGATTGCTGACGATGTACACTAACAGTTGATTCTAGTTTCGGAGAAAGTTTTGATGCTTCACATTCCATGCAAGAATTACTATCAAGGAATGGGGAGAATTCGGTTAGTTTATGCCTAACACCTATGGGGACCCGACGTCGCTCGAGCAATGCAGGTAAATAAGCTGGATCAGAGTGGTCAATAAATTCAATCCATCCTCTACGTTCACAGAGCCCATGCCAAACTGGATCAGTAGCTACACGACAAGCTAGTAGACGACGCCACAGTTGATACTTTGCAACACTCCACTGCCATCCTCTAGAAGCGAGTTCAACTGAAAGAAGACTAGATGCATCTAGCTGGACTAAAATCATTTCAGCAAGATAAGGAACACCGCGATCTAAGAAATTATTAAAAAATTCAGAAACAGATTAGTGATTTCTGAAATGACTAACTGATCAATATTCTACTTACACCAATTGTGTGCGAAAATAGTTCAATACACTTTTTCAAAAACATGCTCTTAGAAATACACCTACATCTGATATTTATGGCCATCATATCAAGTTATGGAAATTCTATCGAGTACAACAACTTCTTTTAGTTTAAACACATAAAACGTACTAGATATCGTACTAATTCATGTTATTTATACAATATGAACTAATATTAGACAGTATTACAATGTATACACATCAAATTCCTATACAATTTCTAGAAATGTATAAAGGTGACTTATCTAAAAGTTGACAAATAACTCAGTTCTGGCCTGATTTTCTACTGACTAAAAGTGATAACGTGACTAGTAAACTAATTGATAAACTTGAAATGCCACAGATTTCCAAAGCAGTAGCATTCAAGTAACGTCGCGTCACTAGCATAGAATTTGTTTAATCTTATAGATTGTGCAAGTTTACTTACTTTGGAGCGCAACAATAAAATCACGCTTTAGGAGAGGTTCTAGGAAATCATTGATTTGACTTTGTTGAAAGTGAGAAATTTTCGACAACAGGTTGCAAATGAAGTCAACTTGGTCTCCATTTGACCAAGAAGTAAATGTATCAATGCAGTTTTTCTTCTCCATAGAAACTGGAGAACTATTATTATGCAGGCGCTTTTTCTTTTGATCGACAGGCGTGCTAGTATCAGAGGACGGCTTTGACCGTTTGATATTGGAAATGCAAGTACAGTGAACCTAAATAAAGGAAAAGTTAAGAACAAAGCGAAATTAGTAAAGCAACTGTGAATCACAATAATTATAAGCAGACGATCCATCAACGAACAAATCGGGTTTGATTATCAAGCTGATTCTGTGAAAATAACCATACCAGGACAAGTGATAAAACGCGAGTCATTCAGTGGCAGAGTTTGACAATGATGTCCTTCCAAAATAAGAAGTTTTGATGTTTTTACCACTACAGTTTTTTGTTAAGGAAACAATAAAATTAATCCTAAATTAACAGTTAAGATATATCATAGCTGTAACTGAGGAATAAACGACTTTACAAGTTAGTTAGTTAACTAACCTAGGAACAACAAAAACTGCGCATTAACTAGTGAGGTAAGACAAGTTGCTCTTTGCTTCTTCCTAATCCACTTATATCTTAGTAACAATAACACGTAAAGGTGGAAGATGACCAGAGATCAGTAATATGTTTCAAAACTATTCCAGTCGATGAAGGTTCAGAATCTTACCGACCGAACTGTTATAAATTTGTACTGCTTATTATTTATTTATTTAAACACACAAACATGGGTACAAGAACGCACCAAATAGACATGCGCCACATAAATCACTCGATTTATGTCAGGGATAGGATACTGACCGGGTGACCAAACCTAAGCAAGTGGTTTCCTTAAGGGGTCACACCCAGAGCCTTCGACCTGAAGGTCTAATCCACAAGGCAGTGGAGCAACATCAGGAAATCCAGTCCCATGGTAACCGGTGGGGTTTACCTGTTTGGGGTCTGCGCAACAACCGTAAATGGTGGCTGGAGACTTTGAGCGACATTACTCAGAATCGTTAACAATGGCGCCGATAAATCCACCTTCTATCTTTTTCATGATTTTGAATTTCAGTATTCCTTCATACATACTTTTCCACTTTGTCTTTGCGAACCACACTTTCAATACTCAGTCCTCCTCGTTGTTATTGATGCTATATTATCCAGATAGCTTTTGCTATCTACTTTGTTAGTTTCATTTTGCCAAGTAAATATGGTAATTGCAACTTGGGCCAAAGCACACCTGTGCTGTGTTCTGGATTGATAACGTCTGACTTAAATGAATGTTATTTCCCTAAGCATATCCATGATGGAAATAATTACCCATAGTATAAAGACACTGGTGGAGTTTTGTTCTCTGAGCTGGATGGTTTGGTCGTGAAGCTTTCATCGTTCTTCTGAACGACATCATCAGCACAAACTTCAGATAGAAGTGCTGATGATGTCGTTCAGAAGAACGATGAAAGCTTCACGACCAAACTATCCAGCTCAGAGAACAAAACTCCACCAAAATCATCCACCTGAGCTACAAATCTTCTCCACCATCTCATAAAGACACTAAAACATGGGAACAAAGCACTTGTCTATTCGGTATATCAATTACACAAGTTTCTAAGATTATGTTAGGAACGACATTCAGTAAAACTACACACAGTTTACTACCAGTATAGAACTGGTTAAGGTCCTAAAGACGACTTGGCTTAGTGGCCCGAGACATTAACAGAGATTGCTAAGAATAGGAATCGATAGCAGTCCTGTTCTTCATAAAAGTGAGAACTTCCTAAGCTGAAATTTATCCTGGTTTTATTTTTAAAGACTGATTTTTCCTTTTCATAGTCTATTTTCATTTTTTTGTTTCTGTTCATTTTTTCACTTGACTGTACTCAGCCCTCTTCCTCCACTCTTTCACAATCTCACCTAGTTGTGTGACTACTTGTACCAATGTGTTCGAATCAGTAAGAATTTATTTTTGTGGACGTTGCAGTGATGTAATTGACTCTTCCAGACGGTGACATGTGATACATTCACAAAAGATAAGAATCCGAAGTTTATCATATTTATGTTCTCGAGTTCACGAAGAGCCATAGTATGAATATCGTAAGTTATGTAGCACTCATCAGGAATGAAAGGTATTGTCATCCAAAACTTGGTAAGTCACATATTTCCTTCAAAAGACAAATGATTGTTACTTAGCATTGATAGCCACATTTGTCAAAGGTATAAGGGACTTTGACACTTATTGGTTCTCCGCATCATGGATGGGCATCCCCTCTGTCATTTTGTAGTATTTAAAGAGTGACGTAATATCTTCAGACTGGGAACTAGTCCGTATTCTGCGGAAACGAATGAACCATTAAGAGATTCGAGAGTAGTTAGAGTACCTCATTGTCGAGAAATAACAACTAAATATAACTTTATTAAGCGATGTGATACAAGTCCATACACATATGGGGAGTTGAGTATGTTACGAACTTCTCGTTGGCTATATGAAAGTAGTTTTGTAACGCCTAACCTATCTCAAATGGAATACCTGGTAATCTATGATTACTAAGTGTTACCATTATCAGTAAACAAAGTGAAGCTTGATATAAAAATTCATGGTATTAATAATAAACGTATAGACACCTCGTGAGTGAAGTGAACGAGTGGTCTATATTGAGACCGGGTTTGTTATAAAACAGCTGAAGTAAACTTCTAAGTAATAATAGAGGGTGGAACTTTCAACACTAACATGTACAGTAATTGGAGCTCATAGGAGTTAATAGGTGGTTAATCATCCTGTGACACAATCCTACATTGTGGGATTGTGGATGGTTTTGATTTACTTTGATGTCATCGTATAAACCGTGGAAAATATGAGAAAACTACACTAAAATGTTTGGATAGTTCGAAATATGCCAACTTTCCTAATGTGGGGAAATAGCTATAAAAAGCTTTGGGGAAATGACACAAAAACACTAAAACTTCAGCAGGTTTGGAGAAATCCCCAAAATGTTTGGGGGAATCTTGGGTTCCCCACAATACTTCCCTAGAACCCTATAAATTCTAGAGGTTTTCCCTAAACTCTAGGGAGAACTACCATATTTAGTATGACTTTGGGGAAAACCCCAAAATTTACCTAAAGTTCCCAAAATGGGGATAACCAGTAAATTCTTACAGATCAATAAGAACGAAGATAGAAATGCTAGTTTGAAAAGTCTCCAGAGCATTCTAAAGTTACGGAAGACCCAGGGTACTGACCGATAATGATGTACTCAGGTCAAAGCAAATCAGTTAGGTTAAGTTGCAAATCAAACTCAGAGCATCACATATATCATATTCTAGTCCTACGCACGACACATGCGGTGCGACATTGACCTTCTAATATGTCTGCTTACGTCTTCAGATAATTCCCGACAGTTTTCACACACTCGGTCAGAGAAAATATCTCTATGCTGACCAGAGAACATACTCCTATGAAAAGCGCAAGTTTCAAGTTGTGCAGCTAAACAATGTCCAATGCGCATATTTCAAACTAGACAATTACTGTCCATCAGTTCCAGTTTGAAAAGAACGATAGGGTGGATTACCTGTTTTATTAATAACAATAGTGTTCTCCGTTGATCTAACTTTCGTTTGAATGAGTCTACAGTGTTAGGATAAACAAAATGGTTCTAATGGTTGTGGATGGAATAGAAGAAGCTCTTGTATAACAAGCTTCCGTGTCTAATAGTAGTAGATCACCAATTCCTTCAGGCAAGAACCTAGGTATATTCTTGATAACAGAGGAAAATGTAATTCGAAAATCATAATAACATACAATCTTTAGTCCTTAACAATAAGTCAAGTTTGTAGTGACCCACTTTTATCAACAGAACGCGATTGGTGTAATAGAAACAATTATTATCATAACCAACTGTACCAGTGGTTGTTTTACTGTACCTGTTTGTTTAACTGTACTAAGAACACGTACATTATTCCGTTGCCTGTGACCTTGCACGAATTCGGTTACGCTCAGTAACCACACGTGTAACCTGTCACGATTTCGGTATTGTTTCGATACGAAGAGATAGCCAAAAAATACATCTCGGCTATAGTCATTAACTGCCTTCTGATATTTGGCCTGTAGGTGATCTTATCGGTTGACTGGCACGTTGTCTTCCTGTAGTGGTGAACATAGTCGAAAGTGACTTGACGCCACACTTCTCTTACAGGACTCCTGAAAAGTCGGTTGCACAAGTGGCAGTAAATAAATCCCCAAAATAAATAGCTCTGTAAGTCTTCGACATTGGATGCTGACTACATTAGTTTCAATGGACTCATCTAGATGAAGGCGCTAGGTCACTCATCCTCACCAGACCACGTGTGGGAACACGGTGCTCAACATCCCCTGCAATCGCTAGCCAGTCTAGATCAGTCCATCCTCGATACATTGATAAACTATCAAATTTATCATCGAACCTCCTCGCTTCTGTCTTTTGACTTCACTTGGTGGGTACTATTCATGGCAGTGGGTGTTACTGGTTAAAACGTTGCCAAACTCCGAATACCTGCTGCATCCTTCATTGATGAGCATAACGTGATCCAGTACACCAAATCGCAAATTGTGAGTCTCTTCCTTTCTGAGATTTTATATATCATTGCCTTATTTTAATTTTTGATACAATTCGTAATTTTCTTCCTTTTTTTCACTCGTTCAATCTCGTACTTGATATTTCACCATGACTGAACAGACACCCAAGGTACTTAAATTAAAGTCTATGTCATCACCTTCGTTTCAAATAAGTCCGTTCTGGCCAGACAACATCGAAGCCTGGTTCTGCTATACAGAGACCGACTTCCACAAGCACGAAGTGAACGACACAAATACACAATTCCTCGCAGTAACCAGGGCACCAGCGCGCGAATTCAATAGGTACGTAACACGTAGTATGTTTACTAGTGGTGTTTCAGAACCCTACGAAACACCTAAACAATCTATCCTTAAACGCAGAGATCTAACTGATCGACAAAGGCTAGACCAACTCCTTAATAACATCGACCTGCAAAACAGTTCTGCGGCAGACATGTTACTAAGCACGAGGGAAGTTTTAGGCAAAAGAACCTTCAGTGATTGCCCGTTCAGACAACGTTCCTTATCCGACCTTCCTCAACAGGTGAAAGCTACGCTGGTATCGCTCCAAAACAACGCCTTAGACGAGCTCGCAGCATCTGCCGGCCGCACCTTAGAAATCATGTAGTCTTCTTATGTCGATGCTTTTACAGTCAAGGAAAAACCTCAAACTACCCAGAATGACGTCACAGAGTTATGTCTTACTCATACACGTTATCTTAGATTTCGTAACGTCCGTTAGCTGTCACATACCACGCGAAGAAGCACTTCATGTAAGCAATCCATCACTAGACCACGAAGGACGGATAACCCCAACTGGTGCTGGTATCACAACAAGTAATGGATAGTCCTCCAGAAACTGCAGAAAACCCTACAATCTTTTCAAAACTCAAAATCGACTGACACGAAAAACAATTCAAAAAACTTTCAAGCCGGCATGCGTTAACGGCCACCGTGGCCAGCGAACATAGCCGTCTGTTATACGTCACAGATGTGATGACGAAAGTTCGCTATCTCATCGAGACTGGCGCAGAAGGTAGCGATCTAACGAACAGCTTCATTGACCGTTTTCAAATCTACAGGCGGCAAACGGAAAGCCTATTGTCACATAAAGTAAAAGGTACGTTTACCTTAACATGAATTTGCTCAAACCCATACACTGGATCTTCGTTGACCTCCTACAACACCACAATGCAGTCATCGATACGGGCAAACGGAGGCTAGCAAACGGAAACATTAATTTACCTGTTTTCGTAACTTCTGTTCCCGGTCGCAGATTATCTCCTGTCACACTTTGGCACACGATAAATCTATCCTATCACTCACTACTTGACAATTATTCTGAGATAAACCAACCACAACCGAGATTACCGTGTGTAACATGCAACCTTACACATCACATCACGACTACAGGACCACCTGTATTCTCTAAAGCACGACGACTAGCTCCCGAAAAGCTGAGGCTAGCGAAAAACGAGTTCGACCATATGATAGACTTAGGAATCACACGACCGTCAAGTAGCCCATATGCATCTCCGTTGCACATGGTCCCTAAATAGGACAGCAACGACTGGCGTCCAACTGGTGACTATCGGCGATTGAATCCCAAAACCTTTCCCGATCGTTACCCGTTGCCTCACATTCACGATTTGACAGCTACCTTGAAAGGTACAACTGTCTTTCCGAAAATTGACCTGGTTAAAACTTATAACCAAATTCCCATGGCCACTGACGATATTCTAATAACTGAAGAACGACACAGGTATTCAGTGTTTGACAACGCTTTTACCAGCAACACCTTCTAATATAATTTGTACCCACCCAGAGAAATCAAAAGACGAGTCGAGGGGATCGGAAGCGTATATTTGGCGATAACCAATATATCGGAATTCTCTTATCTAATCTGGCTAGCGATTGCAGTAGCAGTTGAGCACGGCGTAACCACAGGTGATCTGGTGTGGATGCCTGACTGAGCGCCTTCAGCTAGATCAGTCCACTAAAACATATGGTCAGCATCCAATGTTAAAAACTTACAGGGCTATTTATTTTGGGGATTTATTTACCGCTACAAAACCTTCGCACTTTTGGAGGCGCTCTTCATAAGGTCTGAATTTGAGACTCCCAACTGATTTTGTGGTTTGTCGTTGGTTATGTTCCAGAGTGTCCTTATGCTTTTGGAGTGAGAGAGGAAATACTATATTTCCGTACTTTAAAGGGGAGCGAAAAAAAACTGTTGAAAATTATGTGAAATGTTCTTCCATCGAACTGGCCGAAAGTAGATTTTAATGTTCCCGTTTCATGGTGTAGCGGTAAGTAAATCCCCAAAATCAGTAGCTTTGTAAGTCTTCGACATTGGATGCTGACCATATTCGTTTTAATGGACTCATCTAGCTGAAGGCACTCGGTCATGCATCCGTATCAGATCACGAGTGTGAGAGTCATGCTCAACTTATTCTGCAACAGTGTGGTGTTTGAATTAACGAATGATTCTTTTGTACTTGTTGAATGCTCGATTTCGAATTCTAAATACAGTACATTTGTTGTGTCTGTGTCTTCTTAATTCAATTGCGTTAATCCTGGAATTCCTAATTCATACTATAATTAGAATACTATATTGGCGTCGCGATGGAGCCTGCAATGGAAAAGTTAGATATTCATTCAACTTCAGAAGCTTTTGAAGATTACTTTGAAAGGTTCGAAATCTGGGCTATGACCAAGGAAGATGATGAGGATGTTAATATTGTGGCACACTTCCTCACATTCATTGGAAAAGAAGCATACAGCTTATTAAGAACTCTGGCTATGCCGGAAAAACCCATTTCGCTTTCTTATACAGCTCTCAAGGATCTACTGCTAGACTATGCTCAGTATACAAATTTCAAATGTCGTAAAGGAGGAAGATTTCGTAAAATGATTCATGAGGATATAAAAAAGTCCACTACATTACTACGTCATCTCAACCTAGTGCATACTCAAGGTTATGCAGACAATTCATTGAATTTGGATGCAGTTCACGAGGATGGGGACAAGTTTGGTCAGTGTTTGTCCTGTTGCAAGTTCCACTCTTCTAATTCATGTAAATTTCATAATTCTAAATGCTTCAAATGTCGTGATATTGGACAAGTTCAGTCAGTTTGTAATGCTAATGTTCATCTTACTGCAATTAATATTAAGTCTTGTAATTCTGATTCTACTGAGTCGAGTATTCATGATGATCATTTATCTTTATCAACGATTTCAAAAGACAGTGCAGAGTCATATGGCAGTTCAGAGTTAAATGAAATCCAGAATTCTTGTGAGACAACATTTCCTAATCAACCGATTTATCAGAATTCTCATGCTATTGTACCAAGTATGACTTTTCCTAATGATTCACATATTTCTAATGAAATTACTTGCAATTCTGAGGAAAATATGTTAAATGAACCTAATCATGATCGAAAACCTGATGTGGTTTGGATAGATGCTGATTTTTCTAACGATCCTACGCTCTGCAACGACAGTCCTGATGAATTTCATGAGAATATTTCAGAAGAATCAAATCCTGATGTCATATCATATATTACCTATCCTCATAATGTATTTGATCTTCGTGAAAAACCTGCCCAATGCGAAGCACGAGTACTAAGTGACCTCGAGTTTTATTATATTTCGGATGATTTCATATCAACTGCTGTTTACTCTTATCACAAAAACAGTTCTAATGTTTACTCTAAACAATGTGAGATATATGTTTTAAATGAAGTCACATTATTCATAACTTGGGAGTATAAAGATCCAACATTATTTCGTGGGGGGGGGATAGTGTTGAAAAATCTATGGTTCGAATTCTAGATATTAATGATTTCATTACAAAACCGACATGCTGGTTGTATACAATTCCAGGTGAGTCTGTTCCGATTTCGTTTGTT